ATTAAGAGCAGAATACCTTATTGCAGTGCTTAAATGATAAAAGAAGTTTTTATCTGAAGTTTCTAACTGACACTATAAATAGTTAATTTTGCATAAAATTCTGTAATCTAGATATTTCATGTGTATTATATACTTCTTACGAAAATCATCAGTCTACTTACAAAGATTCTCCTTGCTAGAATACGACAGCATCGGTAATGTAATTATATTGTAACCAGTAATTCACAAACTCAATAGCTTGCAGATTAATCAAATTTCAGTTTGATGCAAAAGCTTAGGAAGCGTAGGACTTGCATATAACTGCTGTTACGTAATTTACATCGAAGGAGTGAACAAGAGTTGATGTAAGTATATTAAATAGTACGAGGGATTAAAGGATTGAATGAATATGAAGGAGCGTTGTTTTAACTTTAATCATTCACACCGGTAGCACAACGGACGTCAGTCGAGTGCGTTATGTATGCAAATCGTTGTCGAAAGTTTTTAATGAAAATTTGTAATCTGGAATCTTGTAAGAACTTTTGTACTCTTTCCGGATGCAACGAAAATGTTAATGAACTGCGCTTCGATGTCGAGCGTCTGTTGCGGCTCGTTCCATTTGCATATCAACATTCCCTTTCTGTTCTCCCAACGGATTCAATATTTCCCTTTTCCCAATAATTTTGTAATGGATTTAGGAGATGAGAAGTGATAAATTTAATGGCGATTATAGTTAACGTGATTATTGATATAATTGGTAGAATTACGATATGTCGAACGTGATATTTAATTTCGGTGGAAATATGTATATCCCGAATTTTCAGCCGCGAGAAGGTGCTTGGCACGATCGATGAGATCTGTAAGAATGAACGGAACTCTGCCCTGGCTCGACTGAAATTAAATTCAAGCAAGACAAATGGAGGCGCCAAGCTCCCGCGAACATGTGAAATGTAAATTAGTTTGAATTAAAGCCGGCTGCGAACGGCCAGGTTTCTATAAATAGGCCTCCTACCCCGTTGGTTAATTTTCACCAAGTGGCAGTGATTCGTGTCTAGCTTCTAGTTTTAAAATAATACATACATAAAAAAGGTGTTCATAATTCAACTTTTAATTCGTTTAATATCTTTCAATCAAAATTTGCTTAGAACTAAATTTGAAGATTTACATAATTTCTGTTCCTGATAATAATAATGTACAATTACTTTACACAACATTGTACCTGACAATAATAATATATGTATAATTTCTTTACTCAAATTGTGAACATTACCCGAATTAAGAATCACAACCTAATCGCAAGAGAATCTGTTAATAATAAATAAACAGTCTATCATACGATATCAATCTTATGTATAAAAATTCTCATGTATTCATTGGACGGAATATTGAACGGAATTTATGGTAAAAGTTCTTCCGTAGAAAAATTTTGAACGGAGAACGCATTGCACGTACTGACCAGGCGGCAGACTGAATGCGTTTAGAAAGAAGAAGGTGATTCTACATGGATGAGTGGCTCGACCATGTCTGCCGTTCGTTGGCCCGCTCTTTTGTATTCAGTAGCCGGTATTCAGTGGTGAGCCGATGCGATGCGATGGTTCGCCGTGTTTGGCTAGGATTTTGATGTCGATGACGTGGGATGATGGATGCGTCCGGCATCCATTAACGAAAAGTTCGAGTCGAGAGCCAAAACTGGTCAAAAGGATCACAGAACCTACCCGGTATAATCGCCCGATTAGAAAGTATATGACAATAATTATTAATGAGAACAGCCAACGTTCTTTGTTTGGTACAATTCACCTCGTGTATATGTAAAGTTTCAGGAAAATCGGTACCAGCATGAAGAAGTTACACGTAGTATTACACGTTAAATAAGTGTTGTGTATTTGTCTGTACTTATTCCTCAATGCTATAAAAAGCATGTACGAAATTTTTCATTAGGCACCCCCAATAAAAAATTAAGAAATGTCCTTTACTTTTTCCTTCATGTTCCCAACCAATAGTAATTGTTATACGTTATGTACGAAACTAAGAATTTTAACACCCCGAAGGATATCAAGTTGTTGGATCCAATATGAGAACAGTTATTCTGTAATGAAATGTGTTTGGACATTATTAAGAGTCACTGTACAATACATAATGGATGGATTCATAAATCGAAGGTAACAAATTCGGATATCATGAGCAGCGAGAACGAGTGTCGTCTCACGATGAATACGTGAAACGGGCAGGCAGGGACGATAATTCCAGAGGGAGGAAGGAAGGAACGAAGGAGACAGTGGCGTTATTACGTGTCTACAGTATCTAGTCGGTGGTAAATATGAATGGCTTTAATATTCCGTAAGCACGAAGCCGCCACTTTTTAAAGTTCATGCGTACCCGAGACGTGACCAGAAAATATTACAGAAGCCATGAAGGTGAAGTAAGGTGAACACACCCGCCGCTGGGAGCCAGTATAACTATATTATAAATGCCTACAGATAAGGAACAATGTGTCTAGCTAGAGGAACTCTTTCCCTGATAATAATCTTCCGCCCTATGCAATTCTTGTTCTCTAATCCTGTCCAGGAGAAAAATTGCTAAATTAAATGTTAAATTTCTCCAGTAGAAAAAGAGGTTCTAGCTTTGGACTAACGTGTAGGCATTTAAATGGGTAGACTCTCTGATAGCTGCAGAATGTCAATGTTAACTACAAAAATAGTCAAAAATAGGGACTACACTTTTCGTCCTTGTACGATAAAAAGATTTTTGAGTATCTGGCGTTGTCTGGTCTTGTATTAACCAAATTTTCTACAAAATATTGTACAAGAAAAATCGTAGATACATTGGTTGTTGTTTATAAGCAATTTTAATTGATGATTTTAACTGAATGAAACTAGACTACAAAATTAACTAGCAAGCATAAAATACAAGTCTCTTGAATAAGTTCAGAAATACCTCGATGAGCACCTTGAACTATCGAGTTTCATCGCTGTGGATTTGTAATTTACCAGGAAACGCCGTAGAAAACAGTTGAGAACAATTTAACGATTAACTTTTTCTACCTCGTTCTGAATAAACTTCATGCTTCACCGGGAAATCGGGAAGGACTTATTTCTGCAATACTCGTCGGGAGCTGGATTTAAGCATCGAGTAAATGGGTTAATTACGATATGAAGTTATGCAAATCCACGGTCTAAGCAGGGATGATCAGGACAACGGGATTTTTCAGCGTTCGCAGGAAACTGCAGTGGATAATGATCTCGAAATTAAATTCTCCTTTGGACCGCGGGTTACACGGGTTAACGAGTTCTCTGCCAAACTTTACTTAACAAAAGAACAGTTCCCTTGCTCGCGCGCCAGAGAGGATAAAGTTATTCGCAGCTCGTTTTATATTTCGGATTAAATTCGAATACTTGATCATGTAATAAATATATCTAAACTGGAGTTAACACTTCGTTTCATTCGTTTATTGAACCTAAATTAAAAATTATGTAACCTTAATCGAACACGTTTGATTTAATCATTTTTTCTTCGAATTATTTAATAATTGTTCACGTTCGCGAATATGCAACCCAATCACTGTGCTACATCTGTTTTTCAGCACACGCGGTAATTACGATTGGAACTGTTCAATCGAAAGGTGAAATGGATTTGTATAACGAGAAATTTCTGGAGAACATGTACGATAATATAAATCATGCCGTTTTACTAGTTTCCATATTCGATGGTTGATTGATGCAATAATTGGTTTCGGAAGTTGAATTTCATTTAAAACTATAACGGGTGGTCTTGTACACGCGTATAGCTACGCTGAGAACGAAACAAAAAATATGTAAGATTTATGTGCATATAATATTTCGGAGAAAGGCGTTTGTTACATGAAAAATGCACCCTCAACGATTCTGCACATTTTCTCAGAATCCTCGCCCGTATATTTTCGTTCCATGGCGGGTTACGTATTCCGTTGAAATATTCGGTAATAGTTTTGAGCGTGTATTTTTTTTTCTCGATTGGAACGCGTTGTCCGGTGAATTTTCATGAATTTTGATTGTACATAACGTCCAAACGTGATGCACAAAACGTTCCCTGTTTCAAATTCCATGCACGAATTATTGTTGAAAAAACGTTGCGACTGGTGTCGCACTTTGCCGCGTGTTTTTTACTAGACCAACCTTTACATTCGAATTTGAGTTAGCGCTGGCATTGGCAAGACGACAGAAACAGGTGTATTTGATATTGGCAATTAATTGTACGTACGTGTTAGAGCAGAAAAAAATTTGTTTCCTTATAAATACTTAACTAAGACCATATTGTGGGAATAGGAATACTTAAGAAATCATAAGTTGAATAACTTGCAAGTTTCAATTATATTTCAAATTCATAATGTACTCGTACAATAAGTAAGGTTGCAGATACAATCAAATTATTAAATTTAAAGGGTTAAGCTGCCGGCGTAAATAAGAACTTGGAGGACTTTGATGAGGATCTGAGCAAGAGTCTGTGCACCGATAGCGACACCAGAAGCCAAAGGCTGGAGCAGTTGCGTGATCTGACTTATTATCTACAAATACAGGTTTAACGTTCAATCATTGTGTACGAATTGTTTATAGATTCAAACAATTGTCCAATGGACACTTACATTGCTATTGTTAGCCGACTGGACTAACTGGCTAAATGGGTCATTTGGAGTCTTGGCGGCCTGTACGCTAATCAGCTATGTTACAAAAGTTCAATCAGTCAGTGAAATGAGAAACGAGGCATGATATCAATTTGTAATTCTAGAAATGATTTGTAATATTCTTACCGCAACTAGGCAGAAGGTAGCAAGAACCAGGGAGATTTTGCTCATCTTGAAAGAGTTGCTGTTTGTTACTAGAGTAGTAGCTGAATAAGCAGTTGGTTCTAGTTGTGCCAAAATGTTTCCGTGTCTGCCTTTTATACACCAACTAGCAATTCTTATCGCAAATAATTTGTCTTTCGTTCAGATGACACATGCACAAAACTAATGATTTTTCTTTGACGCTTTAACACTAGATTGCCGGATATTTGATATATGTATATCTATTTTGTCTGAAATGAGTCAAACATTAAAATGGAAGTTTTTTTTTAAAAAAAGAAATTTATTTTAAAGAAACTTTATTCAAAACAATTTTTACATATATATTTTGTTTTCAAAATACATTTTCTGTAGATTTTTTTATTACATTTAGCACAGACGCCCTTATTTCTATTTCTTTCGCATGATACTTGAACTTCGAGTTTTGAACAATGAGTCGCTCTAGCAATTTAGCGTTGAGTCGCATCACCACTATAGCTGCCATTAGTGAATCTTAACAGTGGATCAGTATGAACATAGCAAAATTTAAGATGAATCTTGCGAGATTGGATCTACATTTCAGATGGAGTCTTCGAATCATCGTAAAGCCGTGGTTGGTATAAGCACATAAAAATTTATTTTCAGACGTGCTGAGCTAGGGGACTCGGTATCAAACCCGAGACCACTGCAACTCTACACATTAATATCTTATTTAGAACAAAAACGAAAAATGGAATTAACTTTTTCTATATTTGAAGATATAATATAAAAAATGATTTACTAGTAAAGCTTTTGAAAGTTTGATATCATGCTCAAAAATAATGACGTCAGTTACATTTTAATTCAATGATATGTAAATAATAGTAAAAATTGTGGTATCAGATCTAACATTTGGCACTATATATCAAATATTATTAATGGATTATTTTTTCACACATTTACGTCGTAAAAACGTATTTTCAACTTTTAAACTATTAATCGTACGAGTATGACCTCCGTTGTCAGGGCAAGTCATTATTTTTTAGGACCGACTAATATATTTTTACATGACTAAATATTTATTTTTAAGTCCAGGCGTTGTATTTTATTCCGACGTAGAAATTGACAATTCTTAACGTTAATTACATAAAATTACCCGAGAAATTTTATGAACTAACGAAAAATTTCTCAACCATGTCTCTCTCAGTCTGCTCCGACTGAAATACGAACGAGAGATAAGCACCGTCGTAGCTGATCGGGCATAATCATCGCTAGATAATGGGATTACCATCAGAAAGGAAATTAGCATCTGAGAGATGCGCAAATATCTCCATCGGGCATCCGCGGCGATTATGCAGCGGATCCGTGAGATGGGAACGAATCGAAATTTCGAAACTCTGATAGTAATAAGGTACGCGGGGCGTAATCGAGAGCAGGGGTATTCGCAAAAGCAAACCACCGCGGTAATCGCTGAAAG